ATATAAATGTTAAATAATAAAAGTATACCATGGGTTCATTGCAAATGCTCTGATTTTAGAACTTTGCGCCAGAATTGCTCTTGGCAGGACCCATGAAAGACTACTGAAAACATTTTAACCCTTTCAGGACTCGAAGCACCAAACTCCGTTCTCTTCCTCCAGAATTAACCCTTAGAGTTCCAGTGTTGCTATCGGGGGTTTCTGAGATGGGTGTTGTGCAAACAAGGAATTAAAACACTACAAGCGCGTTCTCCTGCAAAGTTCCCAGAGTTATTTATCTCTTACAGAGTGTCAGACCGGTGTCTGGAGGAGGGTAATTAAGGGTTAATGCAATGTCTTGTTTCAATGTTTCACAGCCGACTGAAGCAGGTTTCTATGGACACAGTATCCATTCGATGCTCAGTCGTGCATTCTCCACCTAATTGTACTACGAGATGATCAGATCTAAACTACGTGTTTACAAACAGAATTCTATACATATCAACGTGTGTTTATTATTCAGGAAATACAGCCATATTCTCCGGCGGGAGCGGGAGGGGGTTTCTTAGTTACTAGATTATGATAAAATTCTGATTTTATTCTATTCACCTTCATTACTTGAGATATTTTACCAAGCTGCAGAACACTTTCTATTCAGGGAAATAATTGTTCTATTCAGAATACAAAATGTGCATACATGCTAATAGCACACACACTCCATACGCACCTTTACACACTCCATACATACCTTTACACACTACACACACCTATACACACTCCCTGCACACCTTTACACACTCCATACGCACCTTTACACACTCCACACACACCTTTACACACTCCATACACAGCTTTACACACTTAATACACACCTTTACACACTCCATACATACCTTTACACACTCCATACACAGCTTTACACACTTCATACACACCTTTACACACTCCACACACACCTTTACACACTCCATACACAGCTTTACACACTTCATACACACCTTTACACACTCCCTACACACCTTTACACACTCCATACGCAGCTTTACACACTCAATACGCACCTTTATACACTCCATACTAACCTATACACACTCCCTACACACCTTTACACACTCCATACACACCTTTACACACTCCATACATACCTTTACACACACCCTACACACCTTTACACACTCCATACGCACCTTTACACACTTCATACACACCTTTACACACTCCATACATACCTTTACAGACTCCATACGCACCTTTACACACTCCATACATACCTTTACACACATCCTACACACCTTTACACACTCCATACGCACCTTTACACACTCCATACGCACCTTTATACACTCCATACTAACCTATACACACTCCCTACACACCTTTACACACTCTATACCTAACATTTGCGGAAGTTCGCGTTCGGCGTTCGCGAACCAAAAAATTCACGTTCGCGACATCACTAGTTGGAATGCTTTACCAATATAGACATTCACACACAGCTACCTATTTAAATAAAATGTGTATATTTTACAGTATGGCAGAGCCATGAATTCTTTGTACTGTGCAATTATCCTAACCGTCAAGGAGGAGCATGTGAGTGCGTCACATTCACATTCACAGCGCCATGGGTTAATAATTGAAAAATAACACAAATAAAACAAATCTGCATTGAATGAGATGGAATCTTATTTCTGACATTCACGAACACACATGTACAGATAAAACTGCTGTCATCAGTCGCAGAGGGAGAATGAGCAGTTATTAATGAGTCACACACGTCTAAGGCCTCCGTTTATTTCTAACATCCTAAAACAGTTGATAAATATAAACTTTTTCCGTCCATTTTTTAAAAATGTATTGCCAGCTGAAATTCAAGCACACAAAGTCTAAAAACGACTTCTCTTAAATTTGCATCAAAAGCACGTTTATTAACCTTTTCAAAGCAAACTAAAAAAGTATTTAACCCCTATAATAGTATAAGAGGCATTTAATACCTCCCTTACACCCCTAATCAGCATGCAGTAGGTGGGAGCATGTATAATAAACGGTGAGTAGCCAGTGCCTATTGCTGCAAAGATGCTATGAAAATGATGGGGGGACTGTCGTTAATGCCATGTGATTAAGAATGTATGCAAACTCGACTGTAACAGCTATTGTGGCAGTACAAATTCGCCTGTTACCCTCATGCACGAACAAAAATAAAGAATTATAAAAAATAAAAAAAAATGATGGGGGGACATGGCATATGCCCGCCTGTGTCCCCACTTGTGGACATGAGGGAAGGCTGAAAATGAAATAACTAGGGGAGACAGATTACTGTCCATTCCCCTGGCCCCACCCGTGGTGGAGGCTAGTATATAAAAAATGGACGATATCCCCAACAAGTGTCCCCACAAACTTGCACATGGTTGGTAGGTGGGAGCTACTTAAAAAATATAGAAAGAGGATGGACTTTGCCCACTCCCTTCCTGCCCACATGTAAGCTTTGGGTGGTGGGATATTAGGTGGAAAATATGCAAAGACCCCAAAAAGTGACATCTGGTGGCTGCTGTGTGCAGGGGAAGATTGCTTTACTTACCTAAATGCTGTCCCTCATAGTCTCTACCATCTTCACTCTGCATGTTTTCATGAACTTCTGTCTTCATCTGCGAGGAGCCACGTCAGTGTTCACTGGGGTCTACAGAGGATCCACCGGAGCCACATCAGTGTCCACTGGAGTCTACGTAGGATCCCCCGGAGCCACGTCAAGGCTCACTTGGGTCTATGGAGGATCCCACAGGAGCCACGTCAGTGCTCACTGAGATCTTTGGAGGATCCCACAGGAGCCACGTCAGCCACAGGATCCACCAGAGCCACGTCAGTGTTCACTGGAGTCTACGTAGGATCTATGGAGCCACGTCAATGCTCACTTGGGTCTATGGAGGTTCCCACAGGAGCCACATCAGTGCTCACTGAGATCTATGGAGGATCCACAGAAGCCACGTCAGTGATCACTGGGGTCTATGGAGGATCCCACAGGAGTCACATCAGTGCTCACTGGGGTCTACAGAGGATCCCACATGAGCAACGTCAATGCTCACTGGGGTCTATGGAGGATCCTGCAGGAGCCTCCATAGATTGATGTCTGAATCCCACAGCCATTAATTGTGATGGCGGCGAGGAATGGACAAACATTGCGGAGTAGCTCCCCCTTTTGTGAATTTTTGTCAACCTAAGACTTACCATAAAATAAAATAGTCCTTGCTGCTTTAATGACAATTAGGAGGGGGCATACTATTTTCCAACCCCCAAAATGGCAACCAAGTCCCCCTCCGAGGATTGGCTACGGGTCCAATGCCCTAGCAACTCCAAATTAGAAAGAAATCACTTAGTCTCTTCATACTAATATTAGTAAAAGGGGACAATAAATCTAAAAAAATGTGAAGAAATAAAAAATTGCAATGCAGACAAAATGAATCCATCTTCACCCATGGTGGGCTCAGTGCAGAATGAGCTTACAAGGCAGTAAAAAGGCTGTTAGAAGGTGTCCCCATGTCAGAGAACTCTGATTGGCAAATCTCACTTCTCTCGAGACTTGTGTGGAAATATAAAAAAATAAAATCATTTTCAACTGTTTGAAATCAATCACTAAATGTCCGAGTCTTAGCACTATGGGAAGTAATAGCATCTTGTAGATTGAATATAAACCGCGTCGGCCCTCTACACCGCTATGTGGAAACATGTAATCTGATGGAATTAAAGCAGACCTGTCTCCACGGTGATAACGAATAAAATAGTTTCATTATTGACAAATAAGTGGAAATCATGTAATTATTTGAGAGAACAAAATTCTCCCACCAAAAATCTCCCCCTACACCCAACATTGTCCCTGCTGGGCTTTGGTCTAAAGTCAGAATTTAACACAGATTTTTACTACCTCACGGGTTAGTGAATGTATCCATAATAACGTTAAGGCAGAATGTTAATAGAATGGATATTCATTTTACCAGAGCCATTAATACCTCTTGCTCCTGTTTTCCAAAGGTATATCACTAGTTACTGAATAGTCTCAGGTAACCAAGAGTCGCTGCGTTTTCCAAAAAAATGGCGTGCACAGAAATTGTGTGGATTTGATTTCAGAGACGTCTGGTAGGTATTGATTTGTACAAGTTATCACTGCAGAGAATGTGTCTCCAAATCAGTATTAAAGACCCCGTAGCTTTAAATATACTTCCATTGGTTATAGCCAGATATAGTTAGGATACATAATAACTCTCATTACGGGCGTCGTTACCATTATCTAATGAATCACCAGAACTCATGAAAACCCTCTCACATAGAAAATGGCTATGAGTAACAACGAATGGGATGCGTCATTGAACACACTGGGAGCTTAATGGGAAGTTAATACTTTTGAATCATAATGCACAGTTGCCAAGAGTCCTGGGTACTGAGCCACAGCACCTAATTCTTCTAACTGCCACAGTCATAGTTACATGTTTTAAACAGGAAGTTAAGGACACACTCTATGTAGGCAGCTTTCTGGTGCTACAAATAAAATAAAAATGAAATAAATAAAATAAAAAGAGATTCTGATACAGGGGCGGACTGAGAGCCTTTGGGGCCCCCGGGCAAAATTAGATCCCAGGCCCTCTGAAGGCCAAATATATGTGCATTAAATAAATGTTAAATATAATTCATAATACGGCATTCCTTTGGATGTGTGTATTGTGAAGACCTGTGTATCAATGCATGTTTGTATTTGAGTCTGTGTGAATGCACTTGTGCATGTCTGGATGACTAAATGTGCTTTTTTGTATATAGGGTCAGTGTGAATGCATATGACAAGTGACAGAGTGTGTGAGGGAGAAGGTGACAGGTGGAAGAGTGTGGGAGGTTGTGACAGGTGGCAGAGTGAGGGAGGGGTTGAGTGGTGGCAGAGTGAGGGGGAGACAGTGAGTGGGTGTGACTGGTGACAGAGTGAGGGAGTGGGTGACTAGTGACAGAGGGAGGGAGATAGGGGTGACTAGTGACAGAGGGAGGGAGATAGGGGTGACTAGTGACAGAGTGAGGGAATGGGTGACTAGTGGCAGAGTGAAGGAGGGAAGAGATGACTAGTGGCAAAGTGAGGGAGGGAAGGGGTGACTAGTGACAGAGTGAGGGGATGACTGGTGACAGAGTGAGGGGGGTGACTGTCACTAGTCACCCCATCCCTCTCTCTGTCACTAGTCACTCCCTCCCTAACTCTGTCACTAGTCACCCCATCCCTCTCTCTGTCACTAGTCACCCCATCCCTCTCTCTGTCACTAGTCACCCCATCCCTCTCTCTGTCACTGTGAAGGAAGGAAGGGGTGACTGGTGACAGAGTGAGGGAAGGGATGACTAGTGGCAGAGTGAGGGAAGGAAGGGATGACTGGTGACAGAGTGAAAGAGGGGGTGACTATCACTAGTCACCCCATCCCTCACTCTGTCACTAGTCACCCCCTCTCTCACTCTGTCACTAGTCACCCCCTTCCCTCTCTCTGTCACTCCCTCACTCTGTCACTAAGGACAGAGGGGGTGTTTAGTGACAGAGTTAGGAGGGAGTGACTAGTGACAGAGAGAGGGATTGGGTGACTAGTGACAGTCACCCCCTCCCTCACTCTGTCACTAGTCACCCCCTCTCTCACTCTGTCACTAGTCACCCCCTTCCCTCTCTCTGTCACTCCCTCACTCTGTCACTAGAGTGAGGGAAGGGGTGACTAGTGGCAGAGTGAGGGAAGGAAGGGGTGACTAGTGACAAAGTGAGGGAGGTGGTGACTGTCACTAGTCACCACCTCCCTCACTCTGTCACTAGTCACCACCTCCCTCTGTCACTACTCCCTCCTTCTGTCACTAGTCACCCCCTCCCTCACTCTGTCACCTGTCACCCCCTCACTCTGTCACTAGTCACCCCCTTACTCTGTCACTAGTCACCCCCTCACTCTAGTGACAGAGTGAGGGACGGGGTGACTAGTGACAGAGTGAGAGAGAGGGTGACTAGTGACAGAGTGAGGAAGGGGGTGACACAGTGACAGAGTGAGGGAGGGGGTGACTAGTGACAGAGTGAAGGAGGTGGTGACTGTCACTAGTCACACACTTCCCTCCCTCACTCTGTCACTAGTCACCACCTCCCTCTGTCACTAGTCACCCCCTCCCTCACTGTGTCACTAGTCACCCCCTCACTCTGTCACTAGTCACCCCCTCACTCTAGTGACAGAGTGAGGGACGGGGTGACTAGAGACAGAGTGAGAGAGAGGGTGACTAGTGACAGAGTGAGGAAGGGGGTGACACAGTGACAGAGTGAGTGACTAGTGACAGAGTGAAGGAGGTGGTGACTGTCACTAGTCACCCCCTTCCCTCCCTCACTCTGTCACTAGTCACCCCTTCCTCACTTTGTCACTAGTCACCCCTTCCCTCCCTAACTCTGTCACTAGTCACCACTTCCCTCCCTCACTCTGTCACTAGTCACCCCCTCCCTCATTGTCACTAGAGTGAGGGGGTGACTAGTGACAGAGTGAGGGAGGTGGTGACTGTCACTAGTCATTACCTCCCTCCCTCTGTCACTAGTCACAACCTCCCTCTGTCACTACTCAATCCCTCCTTCTGTCACTAGTCACCCCCTTTGTCCCTTACTCTGTCACTAGTCACCCCCTAACTCACTCTGTCACTAGTCATCCCCCTCTCTCACTCTGTCACCAGTCATCTGCTCACTCTGTCACCTGTCACCCCTTCCTTCCCTCACTCTGCCACTAGTCACCCCTTCCCTCACTCTGTCACCAGTCATCCCCTCACTCTAGTGACAGAGTGAGGGAGGGTGTGAGTAGTGACAGAGTGAGGGAGAGGGTGACTAGTGACAGAGTGAGGGGATGATTAGTGACAGAGTGAGGGAGGGAATGGGTGACCAGTGACAGAGTGAGGGGGGGTGACAGTGAGGATGGGTGACTAGTGACAGTGGGGGGGACTAGTGACAGTGAGGGGGGTGACTGGTGACAGTGAGGGGGGGTGACTGGTGACAGTGAGGGGGTGACAGTGAGGATGGGTGACTAGTGACAGTGGGGGGACTAGTGACAGTGGGGGGTGACTAGTGACAGTGAGGAGGGGTGTCTGGTGACAGTGAGGGGGGTGATTGGTGACAGTGAGGGGGGTGTGACTAGTGACAGTGAGGGGGGGTGACAGTGAGGGTGGGTGACTAGTGACAGTGAGGGGGGGTGACAGTGAGGGGTGGGTGACTAGTGACAGTGGGGGTGACTGGCTGACAGTGGGGTGGGTGACTGGTGACAGTGAGGGGGTGACAGTGAGGGGGTGACTGGTGACAGTGGGGGGTGACTGGTGTGACAGTGAGGGGGTGACTAGTGACGAGGTGAGGGGGGTGAGCCGAGTGGGGGGGGTGACTAGTGACAGTGAGGGGGTGACTAGTGACAGTGAGGGGGGGTGATTGGTGACAGTGAGGGTGGGTGACTGGTGACAGTGAGGGGGGGGGGGTGATTGGTGCCTACCTGTCTCTCTGCTTCCTCTCCCAGGCTGCAGCTCCTTCCCCTCCTGGCTCTGTGTGAAAGGAGTAAACAGGAAGTGAGGTCACTTCCTGGCCCCGCCTCTCCCATCACACAGAGCCGCATGGGAGAGGAAGCCGGAGACCTGGCAGAGAGCAGGTGAAGCTGCCAGGTCTCATGGGGGGGGGGTGGGTGAATAGCAGAGCGGTAGGTTGTGGGGGCCCCGCGCTGCATCAGGGGCCCCACAACCTATCAATGAAAAAGTTTTATTTTATTATTTTTTGCCGTTCCAGTTGGAGAGATCTCTGATCTCTCCAGCTGGAACAAGGCTGTGCTGCCGGGCCCCTGACTGCCTCGGGCCCTCGGTCCGTGACCGATATGCCCGAGTGGTCAGTCCGCCCCTGCACTGTCCTCCCATATAGCGTGGAACTGTTTTTATTGTTAAATGCAAGTCTCCAGTAGTCCACTCTCTTTGTGCTGCTTGTGCAAATGAGAGTGCATTAGCCTGAACAATAATGGGCAGCTGTGATTGGCCGAAAGTGTCAGCTGACTGCTTTAAGCCCATCACAGTGCCTATTGCTGGTATGAATTGGTAAGAAGGAATTGGGAGAATGAATTGTGAAAATATCTGTCTAAGCCACACCTCCAATGGGGAGGGACTGTAGAAGCCAAGTGACCCTCTGTCAGGGCTTACCTTGGTTGGGAGTCTGTAGTGCAGATATATGTTCACCCTTGCAATTAAACACAGGCCACGGTGGTCAGGTAAGAACTCACCTGGCCTGTGAGTCTGTGCAGGTTAATGCTCCAAGTCGCAGTACAGATAGGACATAAACAGGAGAATAGTCGTGGGTAAGCCAGAGGATGCCAGAAATCAGGATACACGATATAACAAGCCAAGGTCAGGAATCAACAGGAGAACACGAAACAGCAATACGAGAACCAGAGTCAATGAACTGACACTGCCTTCAGGGAGAGGCAGTGTGTTATACCTGTCTAATCAGTGATCAGCCACAGGTGAACCATGAGTGACAGGAGCAGTCTCATGTAAATTCCAACCCCCAGTGCTGGATACAAGGCAAGATCCTTGAATCGTCGCCTATTTGATTATATTTTATGCATTCTCATAATAGTCTTGATAAATACACTATACAGGTGATACTCTAAAAATTTGAATATTGTGTTCATTTATTTCAGGAATGCAATGTAAAAGGGGAAACTAATATATGAGATAGACGCATTACATGCAAAGCAAGATAGTTCAAGCCATGATTTGTCATAAGTGCGATGATTATGGCTTACAGCTCATGAAAACCCCAAATCCACAATCTCAGTAAATTAGAATATTGTGAAAAGGTGCAATATTCTAGGCTCACAGTGTCCCACTCTAATCAAACCATAACACCTGCAAAGGGTTTTTGAGCCTTGAAATGGTCTCTCAGTCTGGTTCAGTAGGAATCACAATCATGGTGAAGACTGCTGACCCGACAGTTGTGCAGAAAACCATAATTGACACCCTCTATAAGGAGGGAAAGCCTTAAAAAGGTAATTGCAAAGGAAGTTGGATGTTCCCAAAGTGCTGTATCAAAGCACATTAATAGAAAGTTATGTGGAAGGGAAAAGTGTGGAAGAAAAAGGTGCACAAGCAGCAGGGATGACCGCAGCCTGGAGAGGATTGTCAGGAAAAGGCCATTCAAAGGTGTTGGGGACTTTCACAAGGAGGGGACTGAGGCTGTAGTCAGTGCATCAAGAGCCATCACACACAGACGGATCCTGGACATGGGCTTCAGATGTCGTATTCCTCTTGTCAATCCGCTCCTGAACAAAAACAACGTCAGAAGCGTCTTACCTGGGCTAAAGAAAAACAGACCTGGTCTGTTGCTCAGTGGTCCAAAGTCCTCTTTTCTGATGAGAGCAACTTTTGCATTTCATTTGGGAACCAATGACCCAGAGTCTGGAGGAAGAATGGAGAGGCACACACTGCAAGATGCTTGAAGTCCAGTGTGAAGTTTCCACAGTCTGTGTTGATTTGGGGAGCCATGTCATCTGCTGGTGTTGGTCCACTGTGCTTCATTAAGTCCAGGGTCAACGCAGCCATCTACCAGGAGATTTTGGAGAACTTCATGCTTCCTTCCACAGACGAGCTTTATGGGGATGCTGACTTCATTTTCCTGCTCACACTGCCAAAAGCACCAAAGCCTGGTTCAATGACCGTTGAATTACTGTGCTTGATTGGCCAGCAAACTCGCCTGACCTGAACCCCATAGAGAATCTATGGGGCATTGCCAAGAGAAAGATGAGAGACATGAGACCGAACAATGCAGAAGAGCTGAAGGTCGCCATTGAAGCATCCTGGTCTTCCATAACACCTCAGCAGTGCCACAGGCTGATAGCTTCCATGCCACGCTGCATTGAGGCAGTAATTGTTGCAAAAGGGACCCAAACCAAGTACTGAGTCCATATGCATACTTTTATTTTTCAGAGGTCCGATATTGTTCTATGTACACTTCTTGTTTTATTGATTGCATGTAATATTCTAATTTACTGAGATTGTGGATATGAGGTTTTTATGAGCTGTAAGCCATAATCATCGCACTTATGACAAATCACGGCTTGAACTATCTTGCTTTGCATGTAATGTGTCTATCTCATATATTAGTTTCCCCTTTTACGTTGCATTACTGAAATAAATGAACACAATATTCAAATTTTTAGAGTATCACCTGTATAGTGTATTTATCAAGAATATTATGAGAATGCATAAAATATAATCAAATAGGCGACGATTCAGGTTTCAAGTCAAGGGTCTCTTAATTATTACCTGGATGATTTTTTATTCGTCGGGTTGGCAAGTTTCCCGCTATATCCGGAGTGACCTGCAAGTGTGGAGCTCCTTTTTGGAGCAATACAACAGGCGAGCCTGTAGGCTGCGGGAGGCCATGGCTAATTCAGCGCTGGACTTCTTTATGAATGCGTCAGGTTTGGTGTGTTTGTTTGGGTCAGTAGGGCAACAAGTTGTGGCCCGAAGGGCTGGCGGGACACAGAGTTGATACGCAATTCGAAATTTTTAGGGCTTTCCCCTATTGTTGTGGAGTTGGAGGTGTGGGGTTCCGAGCTTCGGGATCACACAGTGGTTTTTCACACAGACAACATGAGCATTATCTTGTCTTCCCCTCTGGTTTTAGCATTGCTTCGGCGGTTGGTTTTGAAAGGTTGCAGTTCAACGTTTGGATTAATGCCTGTCATGTGCCCAGAGTGTTGAACGTGATGGCTGACGCTCTATCTTGCTTTCAGTGGGAGCGATTTTGGGAGTCAGAGGTGGAGGAACTTGGCTTGAGTTGCCCAACATGGGATCTCGTTTCGGAGGCCTGATGGACTTGATCCGCGATTCGTTGTCAGATTCTTCCTGGAGGTCATTTCGGGCAGTATGGAAGGGATGGCTGTCGTTGATGGATCGCGACAAGGGATTGTCTTTGGAAGCTCATCGGTTTGAGGTGACTCTCAGGTACTTAGACATTTTGCTGAGTGAAGGTAAGTCGTGTTCAGTTGCGGAAAAGGTGCTATTAACCTTGTCTTTTTTATTTTGTTTTATTGGCTGGCGAGATGTTACGAAATAATTCTGCATTTAGAGAGTTCTGCGTAGGAAGGGCATGGATTGTCAATTTTGGTGGATCTCTAGTGGAGAATGTTGACGGCATTGGGTGGCGTGTGTTAATCGGGTTTTGAGTTTGTTTTGTTACAAGTAGCCTTTTTTTCTGTTTTTATGGGGCGTTCTGGGTGGTAGAACTCGTTGCCCGTAATTGTCAGTCGGTGTACCCTTTGCACTCATCATACATTAGCTGGTCAAATTCAGTGGTTGACATCTATATTTGGCATTCGAAGACCGATCAGATTGGAAAAGGCGCATCGGTATGGATTGGGTAGTTTCTGTCCTGTTCAGTTGTTCCGTAAGTATTTTCTTTTTCTGTCTGGTAGAGGTGAATCCCTTCTGGTT